TTTAATTGACAATCAATAAAAATCAGTGTTATCAACATTTTTATTAAATCAATTTTAGTCAATTACAATATTTCATATTAAGTTAAAATATATTTTAACTAATTTTAAAAAAATGGAAACCATACTTTCTTGTGCTCAAATTTATTTAGCATATTCATCTGTACCGGTGGTTAGAGAAAGAAATGGACTTTATTTTTCTTAATTTAAAGTTTAATTAGCTGCTCAGATGTATTTTCTGAAAATTATCGTTTTTGTTTTTTGATACTAATATGTTCTACATATACTGATGTAATATTAAACATTAGTGTAGAGAAATTGTCGAACTAAATTGCTCAACAAAATCAACGTTACTGTGAAACATTTTGACCTACTTTGGAACTGGATAAATTCTGATTGCTGCGAGCGATTCTATTTCTGTTTGAAGCGTTGTTTAGTACAATTTTTTTCGGTTAGTGCGTGATTTTGCAAAAAAGTTCCCCCAGATAAAGTTTCTTCAGAGTTGCAAATGAAACAATGCAAAATTGGTGAAAGTTTCACGTGTTCTCATTAAGATCCTGAACCAGTCATTTTTCATGCAACCCTGTATATTGAATTTTATTCTTAGATTTTAATCTTAGATGGTCTATGAAGTTTTTTAGCTTTAATATGAGCTCTCAAATCGAACCAAGAGCAAAGAAGTTATCGCTGCAAGACCAAAAAGTTGATTTCTTCAAACCACCCTGTAAATAGTCGCGATGGCCTAAAAATTCAAAAACCGTTTCGAGCTATTTGGTTAATTTTTGAACTTTTAGTGTTGAGATCCAAAAAACTTTTCCAACTATAGAGTATGCCGAAATTTTGTATTTTGCCACCCTCTAGAAAATTTGTCAGAGATGCTTAAGTTTTATCAAAACATTGACTAACAGAAGACAAATGGGGCTAAATAACGCTTCAAACAGAAACAAAATCGCTTGCAGCAATCAGAATTCATTCAGTTTTAAAGTTAGAACTAGTGAAAATGGGGTTTATTTTGAGGGTAATCGAGAGAAATCTGGAACTGGAATTTTCTATCATTCCGAATTTGAGCCCAAAATTACCTAACCAGAATGCATCGAAAACTAATCGAGTTTATTATCTTTTACTAGAGAAAAGTATTATAGCCAACGACGCTTGTAATTTTTTACAATAGACGCGACTATAAAAGAACACACTTTACTAGAAGTTTCAAAAAAGCGGAGTGCTTTTTTAAAATTGACTAGTTTTGGGTGTCGTTTTTAAGCATAAATTCGGGAAGCCATCGGATTTCTCTAGCTTTTCTACAAAATAAATTGTCCACTAATTCTTCAGTAGGTAATTTCATTTTCGTGACACTAACTGTACCTACATATCTAGATACAGTAAACAAATAGTTGGACAATTTCACTAAATTCACCTTTATTTCTTAAACTGTCTCACATAAGTATAGAACATATTGATATTTTCTGGAGAAAACTCACCAGTTGCGTTATTCAAATTTGTAGGAAAAATATCATAAAAAAACATTCGATAGTGTCACTTTTTACTTTTACTGCCCACCTGGGTGGAGACTAAAACTGACAAGACATTTTGGTTCGATATTAAAAACGTAAAGAAATTTCAGTTAAAAATGAATATTTAATATGAATGAAACCTTATGACTCACATATATCCTGAAGAATGTTAGCTTCTATAATTTACATGCTATATTATAAAAATGCGAGCAGAACCGTTTCAGAACCAATATGTTTAACACTTTTTTTAACGCACCATTATTTTCTTTGATTTTTAATTAAGTACAATTATTATAAATGAAATATGTATACAAAATTCGGTGGACTGTTTAATTCCGGTCTCGAGATTTAACTGACCGCGATTGACCATTGGTCAATTTTCTCATCACTCGACAGGAATAAGTTTTTTTTAACCTGGCTATGTGATATACTAATAGCATCTGCTAAAATCTGGTTTTTACAGTTGTACAGAAACACTTTGCACTGTAATTTGCTGACATTTTGCATGTCTTTACAGGGTTTGTCATTAAGAACACGGTCCTCATTTACTCTGCTAATGCCAAAAAAAGCAATTCAGAAAACTGTAAATATAGTCAAAATCTAGAATTTCTAAAATTATTTTCATGATTTGCCGTTTCTGCTGTGCTGTACTCAATTCTGTTTAGTTTTGCTAAAAACGCCCTGTATTTTACATTAGTTTCGAAAGTATAAAATTTTCCTCTGATAATCAATTATGGAGCTGTTCAAGCTCCATAATCACCGTTTCCCAGTTGCTGCACTTTGTACTACAAAAGTGACGCGTAAAGTACTACCGAAATTTCGGAATATCTATAAAACGAATAAAGATCGCAAGCTGTTCGATATACGGTTTATACGGAATATACCCAACGCTATATTCAATGTAAGCCAAATATTTGTTTAAATTTGTTTGAGTTAGATAGGGTTGTTTTGTTTAAGATATTTAAAGATGAAAATGTTATTATGTTGATGTTGAAATAAGCGCACTTAAAACTAATCCGAATTATGAGAAATTTTACTCGGATTTTCCATAATCAATAAAAAATGTCCTAAGATGAGAGCTTATGGGAAAAGAATAAAGTACGATTTCTAAACAGTAATGTTTTACATTTCGTCAATAAAATTGAATATTTTGTTTAGAATAATGTACTTTCTTTAACTTTGTTCGTTAGTTTTGCAGGTTTTTGTGGGATAACTCCAGACGGTTCTGTTTAGAGTCCATAATAGTTATACAAAATAAGTTTTAAATTAAGAAACTAGAGAATTAAAATTTGAGATAAATGAAATATTATTAATTAAACTTAGATAAAATGACACAAATATAATTACAGGTACAGAATCCTAACTTGTGTGAAAATGTGATTAATAAGTTCTTGTCGTAATAAGAAAGAAAAAGAATGAAAATGCCTTTCGACAAAATTATCGCAATTGTGTAGGTACTTACTGTAGTTTGGGGAATGAGAGAATGACAGTAACAAAATATAATAGAATAGCTGCATTTAATTACTATTTTGTTTGCACACAAAACGGGGCTTTGTTTTCTCATTTCAATTAGAGCCGTATGTTAATAGTGATTCTGCTTAATGTCTTTCTTTTTTATGTGGTTTTACCATGGTAGCCCTATATATAAAATAGCTAAAAACCAAAATAAATTATCAGCTAGTTATAGGTCGAACTTTCATCATCACTTTAATTCAGAAAATCAAGATGCAATACTTTGAAATTAATTAGTTCTTCATTAAAAACAGTTTATTTCGAAAGACTCAAATCATCTGCCCATATTCTAATTATGCTTAGTTAATTAATTAATTAACATTCTTTCTTGCCGCAGATATCATTGCGGGTTGTTCTTAGCCAATACGATCACTTAGGTTTTCTGGAAAATAACAAACATTCTACTTCGACCTTCCACATGGATGGATTAAACCTAAGTTAAACCGTGGAACCTACGTTAAACGTTTCGATTTTTTAGAATTTTTTTTATTTTATTATTTTTATAAAAACTATTTATAATATACAGGGTTATTCACGCTACACGGCACAGAAGTTTGATTTTTAAAAATTATTATTGTATGATTTGGCAGACGCCTACCGGGCGCACATTTTAATATTATTTTTCTAATGTACAAGGTGTCCCAAAAGCCCTCTAAGCATCAAAGTTATGTTTTTTTTATGAAATACCCTATACAGAGTGTCCCGTGAGCTCATGATCAAAAGGGTACTGCGATATTCTTTGGACCAAAAAAAGATGATCTGACCTAACTTTTATTAACAAAAAATATCTGGCTCCTCTGCTATTGATGGTCAAAGTTCTTAAAAAAATATATCTTTTAAAATATCGGGAGAATGGTACGATGTATTTTAGTGAAACTCGCTGTGAATTTGTTCTTATGTAAGACTCATATTTTGATGAAATAATCGACTTCAGCCGTTTTGGAYAAGTGGTGAATTCTTGAGTGTCGTGGTACAAAAACTACCAGAACTTTTTAGTTGGAGGATGAAATCAACTCATAGGTTGATTTCATTTTAGGTTGATGCACTAATCATTTATTCACAATTTTGTGCTCAAATTTTTTGAAGAACTTTGACCATCAATAGCTGAGGAGCCAGATAATTCTTGTTAATAAAAGTTGGGTCAGATCGTCTTCTTTTGGTCCAAAAAATATCGCAGTACCCTTTTGATTATGAGCTTACGGGACACCCTGTATGTGTATTATTGGAATTTTTGAATTCTCTGAGCAAAACAAGTGTTTGTTTTAATAAGGTTTATAATACCTAAATTTTATGGTTTTTTAAATAATCCGAATTTTATCAAAATTTTATATAATTTTTAGGTGTCAAATACTTTAGAATTATTTGAGTTATGTAAGCGTAATTTGTAGTGAAGTGTAACAAGAAATCCTATTTTATATCCCAATGATAATAAACTTTACAGGGTGTCCACAAATTTAGTTCCACAACAAAAAACTAATCACATCACAATCACACAAGAACTTTAAACGGATATAACTTGATTAACTTAAAATTATATATATTGTTTAACTTAACAGGAAATCTTTGCGCAAAATGCGCCAAATAATCGTTCTGTGCACGAAAAACGAAATTTTTATTTACACTGACAACCTGTATCTTGGGAACTGTGAACTTTCGGATAAGACAAATTTGCTTAAAACGTAATATTTTTGCCTAAACAATATGTCAGTGAATTTTGTGACATTAGTTGAGGACCACCCTGTATATATTTTTTTTAAATCAACAAATGCACAGCTAAACATTATAAATAGGACGTCTCTCAGATTTTTTGTGAAAGGAACGTTACGTTAGTTACTGTATACACATGTAGACAAGGGAAACAGACCGATTTTTCGTAAGAGATACAGATTGCCTGTCTATTAATAATCTATTTTAATAGTGAGACAAACCAGCTTGTCCATATCAAACAAAGATAAGAACGGTATCATTCATGATTTTTCTTTGTTTTCACGAATTTAATTATGGTACCAGTGCAACATTTAACTAACGCAACTGAAGCGTCCCGCAAATCTTGATAAAATTAATTAATGAGCTACAGTTCGAACTTCGAACGACTAACTACATTCTCCGTTCATTTCCATCAATGTAAGCGTGGATGTCGAACGGTTGTGCGTGCGTTTTCATACAAGATATTTGTTAATAGTGAAAACTGTTTAAACTTCGGTGTGCACCAGATTTTCTCCCATACTTAACTCAATCATTCCATCCGCACTTAGCGGCATTTTAAAGTACGTTTAATTTTAATTTCACTTCCGTGCGTTTATTTTGTAGTTTAAAGCGCACATTGTCACGTCCAGACTACGTAGCGCTGTGCCCTCGAAAACTGTTCTTTGTGTTAAGTGACGATGCGTTATTTAAATGGAAATACGGGCCAAATTAGGGACTCGAGGGACGTACCAAAAAATGAGTAAGTTTTATTGACTTAGCGGCAGTGTGTATTTGACAAATGTATAAAAGCAGTCCTACATTTTGTTATTGCACACTCTAGGAAATAGGTTTTTGTTTCCTTTAACGCTTGAAACATTTGATGGTCGAAAAAATATGTTTTGAATTTTTATCAAGGAAAATTGCTTTAACTTCCAGCCAGTAAATTTACAACACTGCGCTTTGCGAGATTGCAAGCCCATGTGGATTTTTAAGACCAAAGTTAAGTAAATCAGATCAACAATACCTGTCATAAAACTACACTAGAACTATGATACAACACCCATCATATGATGTAACTTAGAAAGTGATTAAGCGATTTCTTCACTTTTAAATTGCTATTGGAATTGAAAGTATGAAAATGTCCAAAACTGGACTAGTAACTTGATCCTCGATGATTTGGTTTGGAACATTTGTAATTTCTTTCGCAAAATGCGAAAATTTTCACATTGAACTTTCTGCACTTCCACTTTTTAATTTCTTAGCTTAGTAAAATAGCTGATTACAACTGGGCGCTTGTTTCTTAATTATAACCATGTTCCTTTTCTTATTTCTTTTTAGACATATTTACCTATTTACAATTTTTTATTAATGCTTCTATTATCTTTAATTATTGCTATTATTACCATAACTTTTTGCGCGTGTCATCTTGTAGACATTACATCTTATTTATCGGCAGCTTTTTTTTATACCTAGATTTAAGACAATTTTAGTAAAAATATTTTCTTTGGCAACAACTCTACCTACCACGTGTGTCACAGTGTGTCCCACCTAGAACCGCTTCGATCTATTTTTGGAAAACTAGCGTTAGAAACATTTTTGAAATTTTCGAAATATTTCAGCCACTCTAAAATGGGTCGCGTGCATTCACAAAAAGGACTACATATATTTCATGTATAGTATCCTATACCTAAGTTTGACCGTTTTTAAGATATTGTAAGTTTAATATAAAAAATACAGTGGCAGGCACTAGAATAATGTATTTTATCGTATAAAACAGCGTGTATTATTTAGCCCGGATAGAATTTCCTATGGAGAAAGACTAATAGTTGTTTTTTTGATATTTTGGTAACTGTTAATACACGGTGTTTAAAAATTGAATTAAGAAATCCACCAAAATCCATTTTTCTAATGGAAATCCCCCAAATGTTTTTCAACACCGCGTATTAATAATTACCACAATATTATAATTTTTTTTATTAAAGTACGCCGTTTTCTATAGAACAGTACGATTTGTTCAGCAGAAAAAGTCTCACATATATTTATCAAAATAACAATAATCAATTTAATAGCCTTCGAAAACAAGACCTACATATTTTAGACCATTATTTATCAACGGAAATGAGACTGCAGATACTGCACTTACTGGAAACTATTTGTTAAAGCAATACTGATAATTTCCTTAAAATTGCTTCCTAAAACTGTTCAGTGTTGAGAATTTCCAGAAAATTTCAAAATCGCATAAAAAGTATAGCGTTCCATTAGCGAAGAGAAAAAAACGGTTCACTTGGATAATAGTACGATACTTAATTGCCCTTAATTAATTAGTCATTTTATACCCACCTAAGAGTACAAAAATCTTATAAATCGATTATTCCAGATTTTCTTTCAACACGCTCCTCCATTTATTAGGTCTACAGGAATTGAAAAACTGTCCCGATCTCCGAAAAACTCAGCGTTATTATTATTATTATTATTATTTTCCGGCTTTTAGCCCGTTGTGGAAAATAATATTTGCGTAACGGTTCGTAAGCACGAGTAGTTTGCATCATCAGGGGTGTTTCACTCGAAAACTGGGCTGAATTTACAGAAGAGCTCATTAGTGGAGTGTAAGCTTTTGAGTAAAAAGTCTCTGAGGATGCCTTCATCTTGTGCCTGCAAAACGTTAGGAAGAAAATATTTTTCACGAAGGAATAAAAGCTTAAAAAATTCACCAGTTTCAACGTTTTCGACTCGAAATGTTTTTTCTTTTAATTTATGGTATATAAATAATGCGTTTTCACGTTGCTAGATAGAAATATCAAAGAGTTCTGGGTATAAAAATTTAACAATGTTAACGATTGTTTTTCATCTAAACTTTAGCTAATTGGTAAAATCTACAGGGTGTTGCTTCATATCTTAAAAGCTAAACGATGGTTTTCGTTACTTTCTCTTTGACTTGTCACTTGATTTTCGCTGCTCCCTGAGGAGTTCAATTCAGGATGAAAAGAAAATTCCCAATTTTTTAAATATTTTAATCAATTAATTAAAAGTCATATTTACTTATTAGTTTCAGCTCTGTCCTTTTTAACCACAATTCAGTGGTTTATAAAATCACTAATGCATCGTATTATTGCAGTAGTAAAAAGGAGAGATACTAATCAGAAAGGCGCCCGTACTCTATAACAAAGCAAATGTATTTCTACAATTGTATGCGTATCTGAAAATTAGATAAAAACTTATTAGTTATCTCAATAGCTATTTGAAACGTATTAAGTACTGAAATTCCTACTGATCGAAAACAAAGCTTGTTTAATTCCACTTCCTTTGGGTGTTTTTTGGTAACAGTTTGATTTATTTTCGCGAACCGCAAGCATTTTTATTTGTTTTTAAATATCAATAACGCCGGAAGAAATGCAATTAATCAAGCATATTTTTAGTGTACAAGTTTATAATGTCACGTTTTCTTTTGCTGAATAATATCCGATCCTTACTTTGTTGCTAAAGTTATTACATTTTGTGAAAACTATTGTATCAAATTTCTGTTCATAAAATTCGCAAACCCTATTGTTTACTGCGTTGCTTTCATTTAAAATTGACTAATAAAGGGGTTCCATACTACAAAGGATTTATCATTCTTGTAATTTATAAATAAGCTTGATTAGAATTGTGCAATAATGTATCATATTTTTTGGGCATTTATCGATAAGCTCTATATTAACTTGAGGTGTCGATATTAGTTTGATGATTTATAAAAACCCAATAATGTTGTATGAATCTACTACTTGCACATTGTTGTAAATATGTACCTACATCGGAAGTCGAAGTTATGTTGTATCTACACGATTTAATTTATGCTTAAATTGCCATCCTTATACAGGTTGTCCGGAAAAGGACAAAAAAATGAGGCGTTGATTCCACATAAATCATTATTGTTTGAAATTCGTATAGGAGTTTACCGATGCCTCAGAATTAATGGAGGCAGCTTCAAAGCATTGAATTCGGATTTTTGTTAAATATTTTCTTTTATTGATTGTTTACCGATTATTGTAAAATGTTGTAAATTATCTCAGTAGTCAGAATAATTTGATTGGTCTTAACAACTCGGTACAAGTTCTTATTAAACTGAAACTTTCGGAAACCCAGGAATATACAGGGTTATTTAGTGTCGTATAACACAACGTGTAAGCAGCTAAACTACTTTCATGTTTGATTTTTCGATATTATCATTTAAACCTTCCCGTTTAAAGGATCCTATTTGGTGTTTTGTAAAAATGAGGACTATTTTTAAACTTAAAATACTAACGTCCATTTTGAATTTCTAAACTAAACTTTGACTTGCAGATACTAATTGATGCAGTTTTGTGACAATTTAATAAGAATTAGACTGGAACCCACAGGGTGTCCCAACATTCAGTAGAAATAATTATACGATTTGAACGATAATAACTTGATTAATTTAATTAAAATGCCCTGTACTTTATGCCAAACCGCTTCAAAAACCGGAAGGTAGAATTTGGTTTCGAAATCTTAAAAAATTTGGAAAATTTAACTTCGAAAAAAATGTTTTCAAATTTATCACCAAATATCTCAAACCGTAAGCTAAAAGCAAGATAAGCCTCTTATTGTAGACAGTAAGAGCATAGTAATATGCAAGGTGTGCCATTTAAATACATGCGACTTTGCTTTGAATCTTATAATTGGGACACCCTTCCGTGTTGCATAACCTGAATGACCCTGTAGCTACGGGGATCGAGGATTCGGGTTGGTTTTCTTGCAAAATTTTAATACCTATTAAGTGAAAATAACTAATAAGACAAAACCGAACGTGAATGAATAAATTATTAGTTTTGCTTCAAAATATCACAGTATGATACTTTTGGTATATCACAGTCTTCCTGATGTACACCCGCAATTTCCTTTCGAAACTGTTTTAATATAATGGAATCATTTATTATGGTTATATAGTTTGGAACTTCACCCACCAAATTTTTATGTCAAATGTAATGATCATGGTTCGTTAACAAGAACTGTAATTCACGACGCAAAACCCTACAAAGCATTAAACATGTTTTTCTATCTATTATATTAAATATATCAGCTTTATCACCGTACGTTTTAAATTAAAATTTTAAATGCTTACATTGCGGGTTTAAAAAAGCGATTTGTTATATTGATAAATATTATCTAATCTTTTACACTCTCAGATTATAAAAAAAATTAATAAAATTGTGTAGGAAATTTTGGCTTAATTGCCTTTAATCTTAAATACTTTTTAAAATGAAACTTACTATTGACACAAGCGGAAAACAGATACATTAAATCACAAAATGAGATCAGGTAATATAAGTAGGTGAGTTAATTTTGTATGTGATGACAAGTAGGTGTAAAATAAAATGGACAATTTTATTATCAAAGAAGAATTTAAAAAAAAATGAATACGGATGTACTGATCAGGAATGGAGTGAAAATCGAAATTTTCTCGCCATAAGATTAGCCTTTGTGGATCCCAGGAAATATTTTCACAAGGCGTTCTAATTTCAATAGCAACGATTATCAGAGATTGTGTATTTTATGTACATTTCTCATGTTTTAATTTGGGAATTTGTTACGTTGTTTCGGTATTAACATTTTATATGTTGAGCTAAACAGTTTTCTGTTATTTCAGAATATTCGTGAACAGAAGCCTCCATTTGGAGAACATCAAATTCTATGGTTTCGACATGGACTACACGCTTGCCGGTAAGTTTAAAAACTACATAATACACAGTGCGTTTACGATAAATAAAACAACTTTATTTACATTTTAGCATTCAGAAATAAGAATATTTAATATTTTGCGAATTGAATGTTTACTTGCCTAAAATGTCTCAAAAGTTAGGTACATCATTCATTTTTTGTAATGGATTACAGTCAATACTGTATTTAGTTTGTATTATTTGGATTCTACGATAAAGTTTAAATATATACGTGAACTGTCTCTTAAATCAATTTAGGTGAAATTTGGTACTTTTGCAGCTTGATATGTCAAATAACGGGTGCATAAATTGTAGACCCATACTGCTCATACAGCAACTAATGAGACTTAATAGGCTCGAAACCAGTTCTGGGGTGCCTGAGATTAGCATATCTTGAACTCTGTACTTGATTATATCTGAAACTCATGACAGCTTTGATGATGCATGGTCTGCAAACAAAATATATTTTTTCTCCTCATTGTTTTCATGCATGATAACACCATATTTAGTGCTCAAAACCATACACAATATTATCAAAGTAACAATAATTTTTACTCGTCTAAGTTTTACATCAAAAAATGTTAATTCTACAGTCATAAGTGATAGAAATTTCAGTATATTTACCTAATTGTAGTATAATTAAAGTTATTTTGTAGTTTTTTTCTTTTCATCGTTTCCATTGAAGTTTCTCGGCGAATCGACCAACAAAAATCATCAAGCATTGCTTCTGGCCATATTTTCCATTATAACGTCTTTCAATATGCATAATATCGTGATGAAACCTTTCACTATGATCATCTGATACGGCACCGAGATTTTCCGGAAAGAAATCTAAATGCGTCTTAGTTTTTCTCTCTTAGTCTTAGTCTAAGTGTGTTTTAAAATATTGAAAGCCTGCACCATCCTTGTTAATAACTTTCGCAAAGTCCTTCATGAGTCGCAACTTTATATGAAGTGGTGGCAGAAAAATGTTGTCATTTGGCACCTAGAGGTTCTTGAGATACATTTTTAAGTCGAGGTGTCAAACTTTTTCTTTGTGGCCAAGCTTTTACTTTGTAATGTTTGTTCTCGCGTGACAGTCCCACTCACATAAAAACTTTGTGTATCCTTGCAATCCAGTAAGTATAGCGACAAATTTTAAGTCAGCACAAATATTCCATAGGTATTGATAGTATTTTATTTTTTCAAGAAATACCTACAGATTTGCATAATTGTCTTTCATATGTTTGTTGCATGTGCAGAGGCACTGATGGGTATTTATTTTCGTTACGACGTAAAACGACTTTCAAGCTAATCTTCGACGTATTAATAAAAAGTCTCCATTCATCATAATTTTCTGGAAAACTTAGTTTTTCAAGAAGCCCTGCAGCATTTCTTGTTTTGAGCGAAAATATGAGACTATCGTACTTTTATCCAACAAATTCCACTGTTTCAATCTTGATCCGAGTAACTGACCCTTAGATTTTGATAGCCCCAAGTCTTTAACGGGATCATTTAAATCAGGTTGTTTAAGAAAATAAGGTTCTTTTGGTGGGCTTGAAGATCCAGATACAGTGTGTGATGGTGAAGATGTACAGGAAGAAATGAAACTCGAAAAAAGTATTTTTATTTTCGATCTTCTGACTATTTTTTGGAGGTACTGGAGGTAAACTGACTTCACCACGAGGAAGTGGTCTCTTTACAGACGCGATATTCGGATATACAATCTTGTTTTTATATTTTTTCCGAGAATCCTCGTGTTGATGTCATGCAGAAATAACTCATTCATTTTCATGATTTTAATGTTCACTGCAAAGCATTAGCATCGTAAACGGCATAGGTTTGTAACTTCCTTCAAGCCAACCTCTCAACGTTCTTGAACAACTGTTACAGCAAATTTTTGGTAACCAACTTTTATCGCTCACAAGATCGGTTATCGCATTTCGCTGTGTTTTTAGAGTAAACTCACCACAAATGTAGCAAAAACAGTCTGTAGATTTCTTACAAGCAATTTCTTAAACCTAAAATTAAATGGAAATTTTTTTTATATTATTATCTTTGCTCATAAAAAAAATGTTAAACTGCATATAAAATACTTAAACATATACATATGTACATATATTTGTGTAAACCTTACTAAAGTATTTGATATAGAACGTAAACAATTAAAAGACAAGTTTTCAACTAACTGTTGTTAAGTCGCAGTGAATACTACGCAGGCGCATGTGTACTACCATAGAAATCATTTTCCACACTTTCGTTTTCACGTTCTTTCATTTACGCCTAGCAAAACCTATTTGGTATGTATATATATTGTTTATAATGTTAATGCATAAAACGAATTAAAAAGCAGCCAACATCTATGATACCAATGTTGGAAAAATTCATATTGAAATATCTAGACGTAATTAAAAAATTGGCCATCCAGCGCATCCAAATCTTTATAGTTACCTATGAAATCATTTTTTGAAGGAGAATTTTGTTGCAGATTTGTGATATTCAAGTCATCTTTTGGGTGCTGTAAATTGCTATCTTTGATCGCATGATTAATACCCTGGGAATCCCTAACGTAAACGTCCGTTTTCCTTAAATTAGACCGTAACTTAAATGAACTGAAATTTTTGTGCTTTTGTAGGTTGCTAAGTGAAGTAAAAGCATCTTCTTTCTTCTTTTGGTTTATACATTGCTTTCTTTGGACAAACCACTAAGGACATTTGAATTCCTAACAGGAACTTTACAATGTGTCTTAAATCATTTTTAATTTAAATGTAGTTTAGGGGAAGTAACGACTATCAAAATTGCAGAACCGTATTCACTCTTTTGACTTATGCATTGTTTTTTTTTGGTCGCATTACGTTTGAGTATCTAAAGGTTTAACTTCGGCCTCCCTTAAATCAGCCCTTAATTAGCTTTAAGTGTAATTTTAAACTTTTCAAGCTTTCTCGCGTCCTTTTGAGTGATACTCTCTTTCTGCAAGGCCTTTGTATTTGCTTATTCAATTGGAAGTGTCTCCTTTTCTTCTTTTTTTGTATAGTGGTGTTTCTTGTATAGATAAGTGATCCATACATTATCAGCGAACAGTAGAAGTGTCTTCAGTCGGAAATGATTTATTATTATATATAATGTTGTTGATACTTCAACTGGCAAAGCGATATCACCTACTTATCTCTCGTTTTTTCTAAATATGTATTTTTAATTCAGTGCATTGACTGTTAGGCTTAACTAAGGAATGTTGAAAATTAACAGGAAATTGAATATCTGTTCTATACATATACAGCGTTCACGTGAACAATGTGACATGTGACCATGTATCACGGTGCCGGTGACCCCTAATCAGTATAAGATATAAATATATAATAAAATTCCATCACTGTAGATTAAAATAAAAGAAGGAATTGCCAAATGTATACATGAGTTTTATTGCTGGGTGGTACGATTTTTATCTAAAAATAGTTTTATGATTTCACAATTTAATGACCCAAATCTGTATACTGGGTTCATTAGAAATAAAATAGTGCAAATCTGCTAGAGTTAACAGGTCTTTTACAAGTGTGTACCTATTTATTTATTTTGTAGAGTACAAGTCTCCGCATTATGAGAAGCTAGGATTCGACTTGGTTAAACAACACATGGTGTCAATAGGTTACCCGCAAGAAATCTTGGAATTCGAATATGATCCAGCTTTCCCTGTTAGGTGAGCGCATTTTCCGGATCGAATTATTGGGAAAAATATAATTGTCTTATTCTTTGCAGGGGCCTGTGGTTTGATACTCTTTATGGAAATTTATTAAAAGTGGACGCATATGGAAACATTCTAGTTGCTGTGCACGGCTTCGAATTTTTGAAACAGTAAGACACATTCTCAAATAAATAAGTGTTTCGGCATGCATCTCATTTTTTTCAGCTTAACAAAATAAAACTTTTCTTGCACTTGTAGCTCACGGATTTACGAACTCTACCCTAACAAATTTATAACCCTAGATGAATCGAGGGTCTATGTGCTCAACACGTTGTTCAATTTGCCAGAGACTTATTTGCTCGCTTGTCTGATTGATTTTTTTACTAACTCACCCGATTACGCAATAAACGATACGGGGGTTGTGTGCGGAGAGCTGTTGATGTCGTATCAGTCGGTCTTCCAGGTATACTCCAGTTTATATCATCAGTTGAATAATTTTTTTAAGTATTCGGCTTGTTTAATTATTTTCTAACAACATATTACATTTTAGGATATTAGAAATGCTGTAGATTATGTGCACCTTCGAGGTGAGCTTAAACAACGAACAATCGAGAATTTGGAAAAATTTGTGAAAAAAGATGAAAGACTACCAACGTTTTTGGCTAGGCTTAGAGAGAGTGGAGCCAAGACGTTCTTGCTCACGAATAGCGATTATAATTTTACCGATAAGATTATGAATTATTTATTCGATTTTCCTCATGGGGCTAAGGTAAAGTACAGTATATGATTGTTCATTGATTTTATCAGAAAATCATTATTCTTGCTGATTCACAAAAAGTGTACAACCATAATTTTATTTGAAGCCCGACGAGCCACACCGCAACTGGAAAACCTACTTTGACATCGTAGTAGTAAATGCATGCAAGCCGCTATTTTTCGCAGAAGGAACCATTCTTCGTCAAGTAGACACAAGTACAGGAGCATTAAGACTTGGCATACATACGGGCCCATTCCAGAAAGATCATGTCTATTCTGGCGGATCTTGTGATGTATTTTCAAAACTTATTGGCGCAAAAGGTCAGTAATTTACTTTGATTCATGTTATTAAAAGTGGGTGTCGCTTAGGTTGATCCTATTGTGGCGCAGATCCCCCCTCCATTCGCTCGAGTTGCGAGCGGAGGGCATTTCCGGAGTCTCTCCATCGGAATGGGAATCGCGACCCTGTCCCTGCATTTTGAGCGATGGAATGGTGTATGCGCACAAAAAAAAACCAAGTCCAACGTACAAAATTTAATGGATACCGTGGGGTTTTCCCACGTGACGGGATGCCAGGTACTTCTTTTGGGTAGTACCCCCCTGTTTGCGCGCGATTCTGCGTGCAATGTAAACTACCAAAAATAAAAGCAAACAACAACGAACAAACGGAACAGCAACCAACTACAATTAAGAACATATAAAATAAACTAAAATTACGGGAGTCTGTGGCTCGGGTACCTGTGGCGCGCACAATTGTCCCACGTACCGCGGCGGGCAAATAGTCTTGTCTCTGGGCGCGCACAATAGTCTCGCGGTGGGTTCACAGGTTTACCGGGGGATCAAGGAGCAAGGATGCTCCGGAAAAAACTGGATTTCCTTGAAATCCAGCACTCAAATAAAAGAAATAAAATGGCGTGGCGTGGCGTCGGTAGCCTTCTTTTTTGAGTACCCTGGACTGTCTCCGTACGCGTTTCCTTCGGGACTGGTCCACAGGACTGACCGTACGATCCCTTTTTCCCGACCGCACCCCCGCACCACCCTCGAACCCGGACGCACTGACCGCCACCGCGCACCATTAGTTTAAGGGTGAATGCGAGGGGTGTTTATAGCGGAAAAAGGAATTACAAAAAATAAATTTACTCCGCGGCACTATATTGGGTAATATACAAAAACATTTTTTGATCTGGTGTTCAGGTATCAGGTCGGGATAAAGGTGATTTTAAGATCAAATTGGGAAAAAACCATTTAGGCGGCAAAGATCTATACATATGTACGCTTTGTCCAAAAGAGACGAAATGAACTGACTAGATTCAGTTCAGCTCTTTTAGTTATTGAAATATTTGCAGTTTTTTGAAAGCCGTATTTTTGCGATTTTCTCAACAACTCTATGAAGGCTGGAACGTTGCACAAAATACCGTTGGATAGTGCTTCATGAGTCGGAAATTTTATAAAGAATAACTTAGATAGGAAGTTTTCATTTCAAGGAAAAAAATAAAATGTAAAATTCGAAAAAAGATTTCACTGACCAAAATTTTCGGAAATTTTTTTTTTAAACTCTTACTTGACGGGTTGTTAGATATGGAAAAAAGTTACATGACAAATCGACATGGTTGCTTAAAAAAAACATTCCTATGAGCTACAGGGGGACGACGAAAAAGTTTGTACAGGCCCTTATGGAGGGGAAATTTTCAAAATTTAATAAAAGTGTCAAATGACATTAGAATTGGTTGAAATTGGCACCAATTAGTATTGAAGCAAATACGAATCAACTCCGTGTCAAATCGATTCGATAAATTGGAAGGAAAAACCTTTTATTACTGCGGACACGAGAGCGAAAGTCAAAGAGGAGTAGGTTTCCTAATACGCTCAAGAATGATCAAATTGGAATTGGAGTTGTCAAAGGACTACCGAATCAAAATCATTCAGATATACGCACCAACATCAACCCACGAAGACGAAGAAGTAGAGACTATATGAGGATAACGGGAAAGCACTACACAAAGACAAATTTAATAATGACCTGGTTATTGGCGATTTCAACTCTATTGTTGGGAAAAAGCTATCCGATAACGAACATTTCATCGGTAATCAAGGACTCAGGAGAACAAAGTCCACGAGGAAATATAGTATGCAACTTTCTCGAAAACAAAAGCCTTTATGCAATAAACACCTTCTTTCTTAAATAAACAGAAAGGAAATGTACATGGATGGGCCCTGACGACAGAACACGTAACGAAATCGATTATATTCTATCTTCGTCCAAGAAAATTGTTACCGACATCTTAATTCTAAACTCTTTCAACACAGGAAGCGACCAGTCAGAGCTAAATTATCCATACAGAAGCCGAAAAGATATATTAAACACAACACAGACTCAATAGATAGCAGCACTCTGAAATAAAACAATATCATATAACAAAACGAATCGAAAGCCAAATTAAGCGAAAATGTAAACCCAACAAATATAAATGAAGTGGCAACACACATAAAAACGATAATTAAAGAAACTCAAAAGCACTCAATATCCTAAAGAACAAAAAGAGGAAAACTAACTAAGAGCGGAAACGATTCAGCTGATTGAAAAAAGAACCTTGTATGGCAAAGGCAAACAAAACACAGAAGAATACCGCGATGATACGCAAGGATTTTGAAAGAAACTACAAAACAGAAGTAGAAAATGCAATAGAAAATAATAAGAAAACGAGATGTCTACGAAGGAAGAACGGTAGGAACGAATTAATTGCCCTAAAAGACTCACCGGGAAACCAGAAATATGAAGGAAATGCTAAAGGTCACCAAGGAATTTTACCAAGACCTATACACCTCACAAATAAAGAAAGCAGAAACGATTAAATTTAAGAAAGGGTCGGATGACATCCCCGAAGTTATAGAGGAGGAAATACATGCTCTTAAAACATTAAAATATAGCAAGGCCCCTGGAGGCGACGGCATAGTAATAGAAATGATCAAGGAGGCAGAAGAAACAATCATCCCCATGGGAAACACACTTTTCAACACTTGCTTTGAAACTCAAGAAATACCTGAAACCTGGAACGAATCCATAATCATCCTACTCTACAAGAATCACACATAAATTATTTCCCAGAATCAGTAGCAAACTCGATTATTATCAACCTGTAGAACAGGCAGCATTTAGAAAGGACTTCAGAACATGCGATCATCTCTTGACCTGCAAAATTCTAAATGAGAAAATGACATTATACACAGCCACAATTCCCTCTTCACCAAGGGCTTTGTTGTCTTTCATATCTCCAAGTAGACCCCATGGAGACACTATTAAATCCAATATAAATTCATATCTCGAGATGTAAACAAAAAAAACGACCCTATATGAACATAAGGATAAACGTAGCTGTTGCTGTAATATCGCATGCACTTTTTTCAGGAAAGGACGTATTATACGTAGGTGATCATATTTTCGGTGATATTTTGAAGAGTAAGAAAATTAGAGGATGGAGAACATTCTTAATAGTGCCTGAATTGGTAAGGGAACTGCACGTATGGACTGATAAATGCCAACTGTTCAACGAACTTCAAACCTTAGACGTGAAACTCGGAGAAATGTACAAGTAAGTATCTAAATGTTCACAACGCGAGCACAAGCTAATCACTTCTCAATTTTTTAGAAACTTGGACAGTAGTACGAAGGAAAAGCCAGATATTTCGAAGCTTAGAAGTGCTATTAGGGATGTAACACATAAAATGGACATGTCGTATGGAATGATGGGAAGTCTATTCAGATCGGGATCTCGTCAAACCTTTTTCTCTTCACAAGTAGGAGTTGTTTCAATCAGTTTCTGAATTTCTTCGAACATGTTGTGTATTTTAAGGTTGTGAGATATGCAGACTTGTATGCCGCTACTCATCTCAACTTGCTATATTACCCGTTTTCGTACATGTTCCGGGCACCAGCCATGTTGTTGCCCCATGAGTCGACAGTAGCACATGAACAACATTTTGCCACTGAGCTAATGCCCGACGATGAAGATTCAAGAAGGCAATCTAAGGTAAGACGTTTATTTTGACCATGTCTTTGAAGTGAAATATGTTTTAAGCGCGCTCAGCACTTTTTGTGGCTGTTGAATAAGACTGTGCCGTAACGCTCTTTCAGGTAAAGTCGGCTCGAGTCAACTAAGTAAGAGAGGATCAGTCGAAAAAGCGAGACAGTAGACATAGTTTGTGGGTATTCAATGAGACTGAGCCGTAACGTTCGTCTATATAACGCTCAGTCGAGTAAAGTCCGCTCGTTGACTAAAAATTTATTTCAAGTAGAAAGAGCATCTCACTAGTTTCATTAGCTTTTCTACCTGTCACATTTCATTTTCGCATATACTCGGAAGCAATATTCACTTCAGTTAATTTCAAAAAAATTGTGAATGTGAAATGTGAAAAAAATCTGAATTCAAAATAAAAATATAAAACACGGAAATGTCAAAATTTAACATAAAACGTTTTTTAAATAAATACAACAAAATAAAATAAATATAAATAAATAAAACAACCCGAAGAGCACCGAACAAAATATGCCACGGAACAATGAAACATTTTTCAATTGTAAAGAACAAATTGAACATTTGGAAAGAGACTAAAATTAAATTTAAGGTTTAAAATTACCTTTGGACCGCTAAACCTACATCGTTAAGTGACGGTTGATTGTTTAAGACTCAATTTCAAAGGTATTTAAAAAAGGTTTGGATTACATACGCACATCATACGCTACCATAAAAGCAGGACATTTAAGATATTTCATTTACAGAAAACAAACAACAATTTACTCCATTATAGTGTAAATTGTTATAAGAAACGATTGATAGAGGATTCATGTCATGAGAAGTCATTGGACTTAACTTCTCATGACAATGTTAAAGCCAAACCATTTACTAAATGTTATAGTAACAGATTATAGATAAATTATAGGATGTAAAAAAAAAGGAAAACAAGGTTCTGTGCAAAAGTAGGGCATAACTTGAAATGGTGTAAATATGTTTCAGGTGTTTGAAAGAGCTCAAAGCCAGATCCCTCACATCCGACCCGAGACTCCCCAAAGTCTTACCCATAATCACGACGAAGATTTTAGTGATGAAGATAGCGATGAGAAGAACCTGTCTTCCAAGTCAAACGGCAATGAAAAGTAATAAAGGTAATTTTTGTAAACCGTTTTCGCAAATAAAAATAAATTGAGGTTGTGCATAAAGGATAACATAATAAACCGACCGTTCCTGCCAGAAATAGTTAGGTCTAAAGACTTTTGGGCTCAGTAACAGGTGATTTGTTACAGATTATTTAGTTCTGTTTTAGTGTGTTGCAAATTACATTTAAAATAGTATTGTCTTTCCAGCTGTTTACGCATGAAGTATCTTAAGAGCATTAGTTTGTTGTCATTGAGGCTGTGTTAAGAAACATAGTAAACCTTTACGCCAAGCAAACTGCAAAGACTAAACGCTCATTGTTTTCTTTCGTTTACGAAATCAAAAATATTGTTTTAAGAGATTCAAACAGAAAGCTAATTCTAAGACCTTGTGTAATACATGAAAATGCATATAAACAACGCATACAATTTAGGTGATATTCTGCTAGAGAATTAATAACTTTTGCAAATAAGCAATTTCAAACTGTTTATTTAGGAACTTATTTAGAATTTCTCATCAGAACATCTTGCCTGATGCAATTGAATTTGTACGAAATCTCGTATAGTTTCATGAGGATTATTAAATAAGAAAGTATTTAAGATTAAAATTTTCTCGATTCTAACTAGAATTCATTTTGATCGAGTTTTAAATCATAAATATCCGACTGTTTTGCAAATGTTTGCACATTTGAACATAAATAAAGTTTTACGAGCATTTTACTTAATACGTATTAAGGCTGAGAGTTTTTTTCTATAAATCGTTAAAAACAGTGTACAATGAAAGTTCAATGCACACTGAAAAAAAATGTCAGAATAAGAAGATTGTATTTTTAGTATAGTACGTTAGTTATTGTGCACAAAATAATACATGTTACAACAATTTAAAGTATATCTTGAAAATGCTATATTTTAATGAAAACAAATAGTACCTATAGTTGCTGTAGATTTATTGTTTATAGTATAATATATATTTGTTTTTTTTGAGATTTTAATATAATTTAATTCTTTTATATTAAAGATTGCAACCATTAGTTGGGTATTATTTATATGATTCCAAAACTTACTATACAATTCACCGCATAAAAAATTAACTATTGTAAAATAGTTGTAAAAAGTCAAAAGTTAGCACATATAACATTGACATTAAACAACGTCAATCCTTTCATTCTTGGTTTAATAATTTCATTGGTTTATGTGTATTATAGTTTCACTATTTGTAATGTAGCTGTTACTTACCTTCTAATCGCGCTTCAATACATGAGAACTAAGATAAGATAACTCCCTACATGATTAAGCGGAGCTATTACGTATGGGCCAATGAAAAGGTCGGACCCCTATTTATAACTACTGGTAGATTTAGAAAAAAACGCTCAAACACGCCGACTTTAATTTTTAATATCTCGATCATTTAACAACAAACGCAAATAAAATTGAAACGGTTGATATAGGTATAGAACATCTATTTTATCTACCAAATTTACTACAAACTTTGGGAGAATCGAGAAATGACAAAACTAGTAGGATTTCATTTAAAAATTTAAAGTGTGACGTAGTATCTTGTTTATGAAACACCCTGTATAATGCAATGATAGCCAGCAAGATGTCCCGTTAAAAATCAAAGTTGATGAGCTTTTTTGTCTAAACCTATCAGAAGAGTCATATACAATAGGGATGCGACCTTTTCGTTGGCCCACCGTTGGATATGTAAACGTAATAAAATAACAATATAAAGCAATTAAAAAATGCGCCCAAAATGAACCCGTTTCAAAAAAAATCCTCAACCACCGTCGACATAAAAGCAGCATATAAATATAACATTATTATCTCAAATGGGTTTGCTTATGATTATCGAGTTTTTGGTTATTAAGTTAGTTTTTTTCACACAAACTGACTAAAGTTTTGCAAAAGCTAAACGAGACGAGATTAACTAACATACTTAACTAAATGTTTCAGATTTTTTTCTCAATCACACAGGGCCCTTATCAGTGCCCGAGCATTCAAGCAAGTCACTTATAGAGTCACTTCTGCCTATCAATTTCTTGAAATTCGTTCTATGTAATGCTGTATACTCCGAAGAACTGTCGCTAGAATTTTCGCTTGTATATTGCGGTGACTGAGTATTTGTTTTTTTGGTTGTGGAAGATTCTGCTTCACTTTCACTACTTGAAGATGACTTCTTTCGAGTAGAGTACTGGGTAGCTGTCTTACTTAATGATCTGTTAAAAAAAAATATTATAAAGCAAGAAAACATGTTTTCATTTTTTAGGAAATTACATTCCAAAGAAAATGGCATGAGACATTTCTACAAAATTAACTGTCATTTTTGACATTAAATTTCTAACTTGAATGTGAAATAATTGAAAGATGTGGTTATTATTTGTTACTATGGAAACACTGCTGTCTGTCTTACACTATTTTCTATGGCTAACTTCGATCAACTAAATTGAGAAAGTAAAAATCATTCGGAGACCCTTCAGTTTCGAAAAAATCTAACGATGTGATATCACTGAAATCGTAATAAAATGCTCTCTTCAATAAAGGCATAATCAAATATGGTTACAATTTTAAAAAGCTCAAGTTTCTGTCATATATCAGAATGAATCAAAAATGTTAATTTGTCGAAATGTTTCGTGCCATTTTCTTTGGAATACTGACTGAACTAGGAGTTATTTAAAAATCTGTCTTAAATTCGTTTTTTTTCAACTATCCTGGCACCTGTAAAATTTTGAAAGAAGAAAATTAGTTTCGAGTAGGGTAGTCAAAACTGTAATTATTGTCTATTTAACCTTCGTTGTATCCAAGATTCCTGTACTAGTCATCTAAAAAAACTCACCTGCTAAAAACCCTGCATGCATAATGAGGTAGTCGAAACTTTGAGGTAAGAATCCTTCAAATAGAATTTCCCACATATTATGAATATATAATACGGCAAAACATAGTAAATTTATACATTTTTCGCCAATTATTGTATACCTTACGTTTATGACTGCTCTATAGAAGGTAATAAAATGTTAATTAAAGTTCATAATGAATTTTTTCGCGGCGCTAGCGGAAGTTAAATTGATGACGAAGTCAACTAATTTACACATGTTGGCGGTGTATATTTATAAATCTGAAATGTTGGTACTTACTTAGAGTCTTTTCTGCTTTTTGTATGTAAAGTACGGTGACGACCATTCTCCGGATCAGGGCTTTTTGACTTAAACCGATGCCTTGAATAACTTTCCGGTGACTTGGTGTCTCTTTGCTGGTGTGGATTCTTCGAATTTTTGTGTTTTCGTTGGCGCTTCAAACTTTTCACAATTACACGCTTCTGATGATCAAGCTGTGGGAATAGATCTGCAAAATCACGTTAATTAAATCACAATGGAAACAATAGCTTTCTCATTCCAACCTTGTGACAATTCTAGGGCTTTTTTGGCGGCATTCATTTCAGCCTGTTGAATACTGTGCCCCATTGCGCTCGCTAAACGTCTTCCTCTGAAGTAGACTGCTACCGTATAGACTCTGGTGTTTGTAGGACCTTTACATTCAATCACTCTAAATGGAAAAAATACGGTTTAATATCGACTAAATTCCATTTCTTGCTTGTGAAACTGCTTTAAGGGGTTAGTAAGATGTATTATTTTACAGTCAAATTGGACGTTACTTCCAAAAACAAGCAAGCAGCCAACAGTGAGCTTAAAAAACAACAATTGAAAAGTACAAATTTACCCCAAAATAAAATTTTCGCAATTTAGTAAGAAGTTGAAAAAGTCTCAAGTTAGGCTTTCGCGACCATTGCGAGTCAACATCAATCATTCAGCGTTTGCTTAAAGAAATAGGGCACCGTTCATAACACACAGCTTACTAGACAATTTCCAAGTGCTTACTCTTAATGTTTTATGAGATCAAAATGTTTTGGTCTCATTATATGAGAGAAAAAGATACTCAGAATGGTGTAAATTCTGAAGCGTAACTTACAATCCAAGTATCCAGTAAATTTTTCAGAAACTACAGGAGTTTCAAGTGTTATTTGTGAAGTACCGGTCATTCGGGGCGAAGTCGGACTGTGGGAGCGAACTCTGACAGACCCGTTATTGGTCAATATTTGGAACACATGGTGAGGATTTTATTAATTGTATTTTTTTCTTGCAATTTGAAAACTATTAAATAAACTGTTGCACACTACAGAATTCTAAAAATAAAAAATCCAAATGAGTAATTTTTGTCCGATGTGCTCTATTATTAACCCATGGCAATTTAATTAGAAAATATTGTTTTTTGTCTTAAATAATTGCGTTTTAGTAAAAAAAGTAATTTTATAGAGGTGAAGGCGGACACTATGGTTAGGCAGTATAAAAAATCSGTATTAATTTTAAGAACCACAATTAAGAAAACAAGGCAGAAAAAGTATCAAATAGGCTGCTAAAAATTATAAAATTCTAAAATCCACCTTACACGATACGAAAAGAAAGGATAAAAACGAAGAAACATGGCGGACAGTGTCTAATTTCAGAAGAAGAGAAACTTAATAAGAACAAGCCTCTTACTAGGTGCTAAGACCATTTTTAACGCTTAATAAAGGGTCGTCCGCCTTTCCTGGATTAAAAGGTCATTTGTTTTATTCTGTTATTCGACAAAGGAGACACGGAAAACCTTAAATTATTTTATTGGAAAATTTCTTTCCAAAATTATATTTGTTATTAGGAAAAAACTGAAAAAATCGTCCGGCTTCACCCCGGGCGACGGTGTATAATGTTTAGGAACACCCTATAGATAGAGACCTATTTTTCAGATTTTTAAAAATGTTGATCCTCAAAGGCAATAATGCAATTAGTATGCAAACTATTAAGCAAATTGTTACAGAAACTTACTTGTAAACTGGTATATCAGGCTCCCCTCCATCCATAGTACGTAAGGTTAGGCAGCACTGTTGTAGTTTTGACTTTGGATCATTCCAATCTTGATTCATAATAAAATCTTGAAGTCGTGGAAATAGCGTAACTTGACAGAATAGTTCGCAAAATTCCATACCCTGAAATACATAAAAATATTCAACAGTTCAATAATAGAATTTCAGTATATTTTCGCACTTGATCCACGTAAAGAGCTCCAATAAAAGCTTCTAGTAAATCGGCTCTATCTTTGGTTTTAAGTTCAGGCTTAGGATTGCTGTATAAAGCATATTGAGCCATCCCTAGATCATCGCAAACTACAGCTTGCGTCCTATTATTCACCAACGAGCTTCTAAGTAACTAAAAAATTAATTAAAAAAAACCATATACAACTGGAATAAATTAATGTAAAACTTAATAATCCACACTCACAGATAAATGTCCTTCATGATGCTCTGGGAAGTACCTATATAGATATTCGGAGGCAATGAGTTGTAATACGGTATCACCCAAAAACTCTAATCTTTGATTCGATCCCATAGTTAAGTTGGTGTATCCAACGCTCCTATCGGTGAAAGCTCTAGCTAACAGTCTTATGTGGTTGAATTCGACATTAATGCTCATTTCAAACTCGGTGAGTTTATTCAAGATTTCAAACTTCTGAATCCAGTGTCGATCACCAGTCGGTTCTTGCTCTTGCAATGGATGTGGGGGAAGTTTTACCCAAACCTAAAAGAAAGTCGGTAATGGCTGACTTCAAGCACTAGTTGAGTAGATGATTAGAATTAATCATGAAAAAAGAATTATTTAAGTTCGAAGAATTATTTTTTCCTGTTATTCCTATAAAAAAAACTAATTAAAATATGGGCCAGCGAAGGTATTGCTCGCGTCTCCAAACTTTGTAGTTAACTGTTTAAGGTTTCGACCTGTTCATAGTTGTATATTAATAATAAACAAATTAACAGAAAAATGCGCTTTTTGAAACGACGCACTCTTTTTATTAAAATGTTGAAGCGAATCTTCGGAAATAGAAAATTCCAGAATAGCAGAAAATGCAAATATTTCCAATTATTTGTACATTGCCGTAACATAAAAATCGAATTGTTTTATCAGCAGGAAACTTGCAGAAAAATATATAGGATCAGATAGTTTCACTGTATATAGTTTTAGAGATTTTTGGCTCAAGGACAGTGTAGACGCTTAAAAGGGATTTTTAAATCAAAATTTACCGATTTATTATATTTTCCTTTTCATTTATCACCTTTATTTCTCAGTTTCATACATATGAATGGTGTTCAAAATCTCAGTATCAGAAATGTGTATTTAATATATTTGTTTAATTTATCACACTTGTTACCGTCTTTCTATCCGATATGAGCTCTTTTTTGATAATGTCTATAAGAAATAATGTTATTCCTTCTGTTATGTTCACTATATGTTGAATATGTATGAATTATAATTTTTTTAAATAATGTATGCGTTATATAAACACTACCTAGCTTGCATTCGTTGGATAAGCGATATTTGCTAAAAGGCTTACAACAAAAAATAGTAGTGCAACGTAAGTCTAGCTACTCGCTTGTTTATCAATACTTTTTGCTTGCTTTACATATCAAATCCAACACTGTCTTTCCTTGGAAAACGTAGTAATACTATTTTTAAAAACACTTACATCCACCCTCCTACTGCTTAATGAAAGATAGGAAAAGGCGAATGAAGTGGATGTAAAAATGTGTAGAATCTACTTACATTTCAGCAAATCTACTACAGCGTATATTTCTTAAGGTGCTGAACAGATGGTTGGCTTTAAGTGAAACGCATGTATGCATTGCTACAATTTTTCAATGTCACTCATGCTTTTCGGTGAAAAGCGCAGCCATTTGATGTCTGACAATAAGTTTCTAATACTATTCTATATTAAGCAATCTACCCTGGTACAATCAAATGACCAGACTCTGTGCCAATAATACAATAATAATTGAGCAATTTTTATAGATATTTATGTTTTCTACACGAAATGTGATGAAAATTTGGTTTTGATGATGTGAACTGAAATAATTATCAAATACTGTATATATAAAGAATATGTTATAATTTTATATACGGTGTGTCTGGAACTGGGTTACAAAGCAAATATTGACTGTGATTAGCACTAATCGTTAAGATAGAAAAGTTTCTTAGCATTTGCATGCTTATAGCAACATTTCGTTGGGTGTCGCCATTCTAACAATAGTATAATTAAAGTTTTATTTAGAAAAGTATCTTTTTAGATATTTAGACTTATAGAATTTAGGAAATTCTTTTGAAGTCATCCTGAATGTTGGCAGAGTAGAAAAGGTTTAAGAAATTCAGATTACTTAATATAACAATTAACTTTGGAATCGTATTTTCTCATATCAACTGTGTAATATTTTTAAGTCATTCAGTTTTTCGGATTTAAACCACGTCAATGCAACTAATTTCCGATTTTTAGATGGTTATTATTTTACAAAACAATTCCTAAACATCGTAGTCCATTGGCGTACTCATACGGTACTGATGTGAAAAAAATGTACTTATTTAGGTTTGGTGTTCGTGAATTGAAGTTGACTAGTATTTCAAGTTGTAAATATTTTTGTGAAAAAACTTTAAATTATTTGTTTTAAAGTTTCTCAACACGAAAAATATACCACACAATGCCCTATCATTGATTTAAATATCATCTTTAATTAATGCTAAAATAAATATTAACCAAATTTAGTCAAATTAAAAAAGTGTAGAGAATTTTAACTGATTAAGCACGTCCTTGTCTTTGCTTGGTATTTTATACACGCTTTTAATATGTCTGAAGTATTCTCAAAAAAGTACTTACTTAAGCTCAGTGCATGTAATGCAAGCTAGAAATTACCTTTAATAAGTCTGGATTATCTCTGAACAAAGTATTGGAAAAGACCTGATCGGCAACATCAATTCCTCCGTCTAAGAAAAGGGCGCCCATCAGGGCCTCGAAGCAGTTAGCCATTGCGTGTTTTAATTCTAGATCGTGGCACAAGTCCGAACCATGTGCATAAAGCATAAATTGGTCAAGTTTCAATACTCTGGCCAGAAGAGCAAGATGTTGGTTCTGAACTATTGCAGCCCTGAAAACAAGTTATATGCTAGTTAAGAGTTCTCCATTTGCGAGTTAATTAGTAGTACCTGTACGTGGCAAGACCGCCTTCTTCAAGTTCAGGAAATGAAAAAAATAGATGAATCGACGATAAAAATTCTACAACTGCATCGCCCAAAAATTCCAAACGCTCGTTATGAGTTATATTTGATTCGGTCTCTTCTTGCTTTCCAAATCGCGACATAATGTTTATTAGCGTATTAATCCCTAAATAATAAGAATAAATAAAACATTGAGCAGTCAACATATGTATTCAGGTAGTAAATGTATACCTCTTTTTCTAGTGTTCATGTAATGGATCCTTCGATCTCCATATTCAGGCTGTCTAATACCGCAATTCGTTAAACTATTTCGGGCGTGGTCCGGATTTGTACCAAAATTTTCTCTATATGATGGATGGGTTAGAGCCAGTTGAAGCAATCCGCGATTTTGAAATTTATAATTGAGAGATTCTTCTAGTATATTTAGTGAATTGTGGAATCTTAAGTGACAAACTAATACAGGCATAAGCATTGCATGTTGAACAATATCGCACATTATTCCTGAAATAAACGAAATAATGATGAATAAAGATGTTACGACGAAGAGGTAGAGAAATGGAAAAAAGAAATTCTAGAAAGATCAATATGCACCCGATTAATTAAATATTATATAGGGTGAGTTTTTTTCGATGACTAGTACCGGGAGCTTGGAAACTACAGCAGATACAAAAAGGTTAAATGGACAAAGAATCGCAGTTTTGAATGCTCTACTCGAAACAATTTTTTTTTCAAAATTTGACAGGTGTCGAGATATTTGAAGAAATCTAATTTATGACAGATTTTTAAATTACTTAATTCCGTCAATATTAATCTGACAGGCAAACATTAAATAGAAAAGAAAAAGAAAAGAACATTAAAAAAAATTGCATTCGAAATAAACGTTAATTCTACAAATTAACAGTCATTTTTGACATATGACAGAAACTTGAGTTTTAAATGGCAACCATATTTGATTATGCTTTTATCGAATAGAGCATTTTATTGCGATTTCAGTGATATATCACATAGTCAAGTTTTTTAGAAAATTAAGATTTTTTACTCTCTCACTTTAGTTGATCGCAGTTACCCATGGAAAATAGTATATAAGGCAGACAGCAGTGTTTCCATAGTAACAAATAATAACCACATCTTTCAATTATTTGACATTCAAGTTAGTTAGAAATTTAAGTTAGTTTTATTGTCAAAATGGATTATTCCAATGAAGAAACTCGCGACATGATTGAAACTTACATTAGATGTGATAGAAATGTTGGACGAGCCTAAGGATGAACTATCAAGTGATTTTTAACTAAACTAACAAAATATTGCTATTTTGCAAATTATTATCTCTTAATGAATGGATGTTCGTTTTTCAAAAAAAAAATAGCTTTTTATTGATTTTATAAATAAGTTTTTTCTTCAAAAATCGTCTATATTGTCTTACCTGTCCGATAAAACCCTTCCGCAGAAACTGCTACAGTAACGTCACGTTTCATTTGTCCTTGTGTTCTCATTTCTTGCAGCTTGTTTTCTTTGGCTTCCAGCTTCCTCTTGTCGTCAAAGGTAGGCTTTGACATATTTGCAATAAGATGTCTGAACTTTACATATTCTCTCCAAGCCTTCTGATAATCCGGATTGCCTACATTCAATAATTTAACATCAGCTTTATTTGGATAATATCATAATATTATTTATTACATTATATTAATGTTACCATAATTAGAATGTGGAGTCTGTTTTTTCAATTTATATTCTAGTTAAATTCAAGTAAACTATCATCAGCAGTAAATTCAAAAAACAAAGGAAATAATATTATATCCTACCAGCGTAGCTTAATTGTGGAGGTCGAATACCAAAATGAACAATTTCCGGAAACTTATAGTCTCCCTCTTTTTGCAAGTCAATATTTCGATCCAATTGATCGACACGTACGGAAGATGGTTTTTTTCCAGGACATGTCACCACCATGCCCTTCAATTCGTCAGCAAAATTTTGCCACTCATATTGGGACATTTTCACCATACTTTCCAGGTCGCATTCCTGAATAAGCGGCACAGAACTATCCAGCAGGTATTTTATGACTTGTTGCATGCACAAAATTTCTTTTCCATCTCCTGGCAACTCTCTTACAAATCTCGGCATAAAGTGAAATCGAGAACAACTTTGACTGTCAAGAGGAGTGACCAAATCTAGATCTACCAGTTCTAAGACTTCCTTAAATAGGAACATAGAGAATAAATCGATCTCTGATATGGTAAAATGTTCAGGGAATTTTTCTTCGTAATACAGAATGGTGTATTCGATGTTAAAACGAATTACTTTACAAGGTGGCAGGTTGGGTAATGGAAAATGGGATAGAATCGAAAATCCTTCAAAAATGTATTCGTGCTCGTCGTGCTGGATAATAGTAGGTGCTTTGATCAAAAAGTTTGTTGGGGGAGATATAATAATTCTATAATGGAACAATTTATCAGCATTGTTGGTGAAAATAGAGCATTTTGGAATAGGCAATTCGCCAGGGTAAATTCCATGTCTGATGCCAGATTTCCTTGACTTATAGGAACACCTGCACAAAGGTCCGTCATTCATTTCTCCTGGATCATTATACCACATTTCTGTGTCAAGGCGGTCTGGATGTTGTTGCTTTCTCTGAAGCTCTTCCATAGAATAATCTTCTTCATCAGAAAAGCTACCATTAGAACTGTCCGAATCTGAACTACTGCTTCTGACTTCCGTTTTATGTTTGCACATTCGACGACGATTTCTCCTTGGAGGCGGCTCATACTTTGGCTTAAGCATATTAATGTTTGCAGATCTATCCAATAGCTCATTTTTAAATGATTTACACATTTCAACTAATTTTTCAGAGCCTTTCAGTATTTTAAAATTAGTCTCCTCTCTCTCGTAATACAATTCAGATGGTGTGGACCTGGTCCAAATTTTTCTTTCAGCGGAAATAATATCTTCGTTTTTCTTAACATATTCTTCCAATTTTTCTGTAATCTTCTGTTGGGTATTGCAGTAATTGTTCTTCCATAATTTTAAAATTGCATCTCTTTCGGTTTGAGATGCATGCGATGGATTCGATTTGAAATGAGTAATTTCCTTGTCTCGCGATTTTCTATTTGTTGTTCTATTGTCCTCCCGTCTTGCACAGTAATCTCTGCTTCTTTGCGGACTTCGGTATCTATTAGTCTCCTTTGAATACCTATCTCGTCTATTGCTACGTGAAGTTGTTGCTCTACTTCTACTTCTACTCCTCCTCCGAGAAATACTGCTACGACTACTTGCATAACTTCTGCTTCTAAATGCCCTATTTGAACTATCTGTGCGATGTCTCGATTCCTGTAATAGATGTCTTTATATATACTACATATAAAAAAATACATTTCAAACCTCTGAAGTTGTAGTAGTAACCGATTGCGATACTACTGAACCAGATCTACTTGTTCTATATTTGGAACTAAAACGGTTTGAGGGACCAAAACCTTCTGCAGTTTTATTAGAATGGCAATCTTGCATGTATCCACGTTGGGTGACATTTTCAATGGGAAACGGTGGCGGAATCGTATACTGATTAGGCGAATATCTTTAACAAAAATATGAATTCAATAATTAAATTAAAAACTGATTTTACTGCTGTTATTAGCGAGTTGCTAAAAACAATATTTGGATGCAAATTTAAACAATACTATTGAAATATATTATGCAATGGAATATACAGCCAACTGAACAGAACATAAAAACAGCTGTTCGATTCAAGGTTTTCTCTCAGGACATCGAAGTTGCAGGTGCACACACGAAAAGACAGGTCAGGATCAATAAAGCAATATTAGAGAAAGTTTTCAAATTTTACGTGCGAAACATTTTAAAATTAAGTCAATTTCATCAAGTATAAGCTGAACATAATGGCATTCAACAATATCTAGAACAACTGACTTGACAAGCGATCAAGAGACAGCAAATTCGAATCCCACCGACAAGAAACTGAAGTTATAAACCTTGAAGAATGTACGGTACATTTTACTATAAAACTCTAAGTCGAAGTCTCATTTAAGGTAGTTATTTATTACGCAACGCGAGTTTCGCTCTCATGCATTATAAGACATTATCTGCATAAAATAGTTACAGTGATTAGGGGCTGTCCATAAATTACGTAAGGCATGGGCGGCAGGCATTTCTTACAAATTCTTTTTGCAGTGGAATGTTGCGCCGAAATCTGGATCTGTATGATCAAGTGGATCTGAAGAACCTTATGATGAGACTGATTACCGGAGTCATAATATTATCTTACGAGAAACTCGTCGGACCAGATAATATACTTTATGGGACGCGTTATGGATAGCAAACCACTACAACCCATTCCAACACCGTGTGGGCGATACAGCCACTCTTTCTTGTGCGACCACCAGACAGACAACCGCAAGAGTGCAATAAAATGCAACAAATGCTTGAGACCACACCATACGATCCAGTGCAAGTCACCACTTTTCCCAAATGCGCTGCTTGTAGCAGAGACAAGAAAAAGCAATAGAAGGAAAAAAAGATAAGAAAAAGGAAAAAATAAGAAATTATTATTTGTCTCTGAATTGTAGTTCCGAGGAACATGCAGCTTGGAGCATGAAATGTACAAGAAGACCTACTGCCCTAATTGAAGGCATTCCAAATGTAAAAACAAGACTATAAAAGAACTACCAGAAACGATAACCAACAAATACAAATACAAAAACATGACATTAACAAAACCACAAACTGCACTGCACCTGGCACTTTTTGAAGACTCGTCCATGATAGGAAAAGCAAATTCTCCAATAAACAATAGACCAAATGAATACATCCACTTCACTTTGTTATATGAAAATGAGAAAATTCATGTATTTGAACCACCACATGCACCCCTTCTCACGCATTTTTTTTGTTATATTCATCATCTTGTATATTATAAAGAGACAACCCTTTATATTGAAAACTATTAATTTGAAGTTATTGTGCTCGGGTCTTATGAAAGAATAACTGGACTGATTCCCATTGTAAGCTTTCGAACGAAAAACCTTTTAGGACGCAAGCCACTCGTGACTGCTAAACCTTAGGAAGAAATTATTGTCCACGACGCCCAAAAAATTCACCAGTTTCATATCTTATAAAAGGGAATATATGTTATATGTATTCTATTTTTCTCATCTAAGAATCATTGTCAATTTCATCTGGATTTTAATGCTGGGCCCTGATGATACATAAATAAATGTGCAAAACGTTAGCTGTGGCTATACTTGACGGTGTATCATTTTGGTATTACGTGAAGCTATAGAACATTAGAAAACTTTGAAAGTTAACAAAAGAAGCAAATACTTTTGGCGAAAAACATACTTACGGATATTGTGTATCCGCCACATTAAGAGGCGCACATGCGTATGTTGATTGGACATACCGACCGGCAACATTTTCTTGCGTCCAGTTGTAGCCCCATTGAACGGAAGGTGCTGCTTCGGGGGGAACTGGACAAAAACCATTCTGTTGCGGAGAAGCTGAAGGTATGGTATTATTATACCGTGGCTGATTGTAATACCACTCAGGATTACTCATTTCGCCGCCACTTTCTGTAGATTGTGACTGAAAAAAAGTATTGTAGATATCTATTACGGTTTACGAAGCAAACCACTTTGTTGTTTTTAATGATAAGTTATAATGATGTAAGTTTTCCTGACTGTATTTCGAATTTTAATTTTCAACAATATTTCTGGGTTTCAGTCTTATATTTGTTTAACCGGCATACATACATGTATGTATAAAACGTAGGATGTATTTCGCAGAGGTGAATAATATCACCTGTTCGCGAGTCTCGAAATCATCTCCGGACGGGAATCGAAAATACATTTATTTAGATATCACAATTTATTTATTTTTCCGATGTCGGTGTTTTTCCACCATTATCAGTTTGTCTAATACTAATAGTTGTTTAAATACTTTGTCCATACATATACATGAAATACAAGAACACTTTAAATGTGTGGGCTTTTTTCATAAAAACGGTTGTATTATTTATTAGCACAGCGTGTCATTACTAATTACTAAAACACTTTAAAATTACAATACACCAACATCCAAAAATTCTCTAAAATCGAAAAAAACTGTATACAGGGTTGCTCATTAGTGCGTCAAAGTGCGATATCTCAGTAAATATGAAGTTTACAAGAAAATTCGTCCAACGAAAGTTTTTCACGTTTAAAAGGTCCACATTCTAAAGATACTTTCCAATATATAGGGTGCATCATAAACGTGTGGTAGTTATCAACTCTGGTTTTTTAAATGAAACCCCCCCTTTTTTTGTTATTTTCAGATTGGCCGTTCAATTTTAATTTATGTTCGTTTCAACCGTTTTACCTGAAAAATTTACGATTTCCGAGTTATTCGTAAAAATGTGAAAGTTTTGACAGCTATTGGGTTCCACAGAAATCGATGCTG